CAAAAAACTTTGATTTTCTCACTCTCTATTGCTTTTTATAGGACGAGTATTAGTTGCAATGATGAAATTCTGTAAGTACTGAAATACATAAATGTGGCTTCAAAATCAGAATGAACAAATTAAACAAAGAATTGAGAAAATATCGTTAAACTGCTTTTTATATGCATTTTTTAAAATCCATATAGTAAGGGGTACTGGCTGGTGATAGTTCAATAAAGGTTAGAACGAAAAATACAATGTCTGAAAAATGGATTTCTTCTTGCAGTCAAACAATAAGCCACAACAGAGCAATTGGGTAAAGAAAATGACATGATGGATAGGTTTTCTATCAAGCGACGTTGTACGAAGTTTTACTGATTAGGGTCATCAAAACATATCGTGACTATAAATGTCGGACAAAGGAATGAAATGCTGACTTGATGAGGAAACCAAGCTTGATGTTTTACCCTTAACGTAAAATGATCTTTTAATAATGCTGTTATCAAAACTCCGATGAAACATATCAACTGTATATTCTCTTTAATGATTGAAGACTAAGTTGCAGTTTTTGTTTTAATTTTCTATATATATATATATATGTAATTTTAATGTATTTAAAATGAAGCTAAGCGAACACTGCGAGAATCGTTTTATTTTGATTCCGAATAAAATATCACAAGTATTTGTAATCTTTATATTAAGTTTTTGATTAGAAGAGATTATTTATAAAGGTGATACTAGTCATTACATCTCTGTTTGTTTTGTTCCTTAGAAGTTAATGAGTATAAACTAAATGATCAAAATACGAGCCTCGTCTTTATGAAAAGTTTCGATATCATCTTATGTTAGCAAAGAATATGTCAATAAACAGATCTCGGTACGCAGATATAATGATATATATAGAGAGAGAGGGGGGAGAGAGAGAGAGAGAGAGAGAGAGAGAGAGAGAGAGAGAGAGAGAGAGAGAGAGAGAGAGAGAGAGAGAGAGAGAGAGAGAGAGAGAGAGGGGGGGGGGAGAGAGAGAGAGAGAGAGAGAGAGAGAGAGAGAGAGAGAGAGAGAGAGAGAGAGAGAGCGAGTTGGGAACGATTAATCTTCATAGCGATTTGGGTTCCATTTTTGAATACATGATAACATTTATTGCAGACTTCTTGAAATAAACATCAGAATTTTCAACAGAATCATATCTTTTCCCTTTTCTGTTTTCAAAACTTTCTTCTTATTGTTATTTTTTCTCTCCGAGAAGTGAAATATTATATATGAATTACCGTTGCAATGAGAACATTACTAATAATATAATCAATTGTAGTATGTTTTTCGGCATGTAGGAGCTCAAACCTTTCCGTTGAGTACTGTACGTTGACCCGACAATAGACCTAAAAGTTCTGTATCCTTTAATACCCATCAATTTTCCTGTTCTACCATTTGTTGGAAGCTTTGACAGTGCACATCCATCGGCCATAGATTTCGTTTTACGGTATAATGCTCTCCTCATCCCTCTAATGTCATCTGAACTTAATAATTGATCAGGGGTGTGCTTTCGGTTTTAGGCCCTATTGAGTTTGTCACGGAGCACCATTGTTCCGGGAGCGCTATATCGACTTATTGAATGTACGAAGTGAAATCACACGTACCGTGCAAAACATACATTCTGTGTCCAGAGTTTCCGGATGTACGATAATCGCGTTCATTTCATTTGATTTTGAATGGGAACCAAAAGAAATTCGTTTTAATTAATCTGAATATTTGTGTAGGCAGGACGCTATCGCCTTCTGCAGATTTATAAGATTATTCATAGACATCGAGGCTGTGCTAGGTAAAAGCTGAGGCGTCAATAAACAAAGAGATTTATAGCAAATAATTTTCAAATAAAACTAGTGATTATTCCGAATTCAAGTATGTTATGGAATGTGTGAAATACAGACGCCAAATAATTATAAAATTTCGCTTTTTAACTGGTGTTTATGAAAAGTAAAGAAAGATAGAAAGTAGTGTAAAAGCACAAAGTAACAAATATCAAGTCGCACTTCTTTTACCGCTTCATTCGTCAGAATTTGTGTCATAGGAAAAACGAATTATTGCTTATATTTATTTTCGTGAATAATCGACATGCATGCTTATTTTCGAAGCGATTTATGTTTCCAGCAAATTTCTTTTCTCGTCAAAATGTAATAAAGGGATACTGGATTTACAAACAAAAATGATCTCTAAATGCTAACTTTCAATTTTGTTTGCAACGACAAAATGTAAAGTTTCAAAAATTGCTGCAATTATTTACTTCTGTATCTTAACATTCTTCAAGACTTTATGGTTTGACAAGGAAATGTTTAGTAATTGTTTTCACGATAGAAAGTAGGGTTCGTTGTGTTTGAATTTTTTTCTTTTTTGTTTTGGTTTTTTTTTTTATAACTTTCACCTTCAAAAAATGTTTGGGTTCTAAATTCAAAATAAAAATCAGAAATAAAAAAGTCAGCATTTAAGTATTTTAAATTTGTAATTTTTGTAATAATTCTTGCAAAGTTATTCCCAAACCTCCAAAGAGAGGTGCCCTATGAAGTCCCTAGCAACGATGAAACGTTGAATTGTTGAATCACGACGTCAACCACGCCGTCAAAAATATAATTCAAGGGTGAAAATCTACAGAACGAACTTCCTTTTAAGTATTCCACCTCTTGAAAACAGGATGCAACTATTGGTAACAAAACATATATAAGTGTGTCTCAAGAATTGCACAAAGGATACCAAAGTGAAAAGCACCTTTCAATACTTTAGAGTTAAGTATAGTAGAGCCTAGCAATGAAGTAAGCTGCATCATAGAGCTATTGCATCCTTCTAGGATACGTCATTGATGCTAAGGGCCCAAATTAAATGTTAAAGCCTAGGAGGAGACTGAGGAATACCCAAAGTGATCGAAAGAAAAGTCAAAATCGAGATGGGGAGAAAGAGCAGTCTCATAACTAACTATATTTCGTAATTTTTGATTTACCTTTTGCTATACATATCGTCGATATCATTTCCAATATGTATCACCGGCTAGAAGTTCTCAGTGACTTTTTTTACCAACAAAATGTTAAAACAGTGAACTTATTCTCTTCCTGTTATTTTTTAACTTCATGTGAAAATAATTATTCAATTATGCAAAGTTCAAAACAGTAAAGTTTAAGAGAGATGTAAATATATAATATTGTTAAAATCTCAGGCTCAATAAAGACATGCCTAATTATGTCCGGGTGTAAGGCAAAAGGTTTAAGATGTCATGGGTCAGAAAATCGAAGCAACGACTGACAAAATATACTTATTCGTAATTCACAATCAAAATGATATGTTAGCTTTGTCTTAAATCTTTCATTAGAGTGCATTACCTTCACAATGACAAAATGAATCAAACAATCGGTCAATCGGGAATGCAATGTATAGCCACGGATAGAATTGCGTGCAAATCCAGTGTAAAAAGTTCAATATTGTGTGTGACCAACATTCGCACTAATGCATGCCACATATATATTACAAATGTAACTAATCAAATGACGGTGAAATACTTGGGGAATGTTCTGCTATCTATATGTTTGATCATGTACGACGAAATGCGTTCAACATTGAAGGAGGACAGACGCCTCTCTATTACATCCCAAAAATGGTCGCCATGAGACAAATCTAGGGACACTGCAGGCCAAGGTAACACGGGTACGTTCTGCTTTGGTGAATATGCCCCCAACAACACGCAGTAAAATAATACAGTGCATAAAACACTACTGATCAATGGAAAGACAAAACTCTCTTGGTATGCGTTGCTTAGGTTCATTAAAAAGTATTCTGGCCATTAAAATGTACCGAAAGCAAATTAAAATTCTGACCAATAGAACGAGCTTTGACCGTTAGCATCACTGACGAGAAGGACGAAACAGCTGTATGATGTAGCATCACTGACGAGAAGGACGAAACAGCTGTATGATGCACTTAAATGTATTTTAGGCTCTAGTGTATCTCACTCTAAAATTGCATTTAAAGGTGTTATTTTCTTGAGTGTCCGTGGTAGACACTGTTGGAATACGCTTAGTCCGTGATGTCAGCTGTTACATGCATGCTGCGTTTTAATTCATTCAAATGGTAGCACAGTCCAGAATATACACATGTGCTTGGCGTTGTTATTAAATCATCAGACATATGAAACTTACAAAATTCGTTGAATTATGGGTCTAGTACATGTCCCCATCTATATTTTGACTTTTCTATTGATTACTTGAAGTTTTCGTAGTCGCCTTCAAGACTTCAAAATATAAGCCCTTAACATCACTGACGAGTCCTAAAAGGACGATGCAGCTGTATGATGCAATTTGATTAATGTTTATTTTTGCTCTGCTGTATCCAACTCTAAAATGTTACTGAAAGATGCGATTCACTGGCGTGTCTTTTGTACAATTTATCAATAATTCAAGATATAATTTTAGCAATATTCGGTGTTAAATTCTGGACTTTTTAAGTATATGTCATTGCCAGTTTCTTTTTCCTTCAATATGTTACCCATATGTTCCTGTTTTATGCATTGCTGGTGTAAACAATATGTAGTACGTCCGATAAGCTATTCTATTCTACAAATTTTAACTATCAAATTAATTTAATCTATAAATTCCTTTTTACCTGCATGAACAAACGCTTCATCGAATTTCCTACCAGTCGTGCGATATAGAAATACTCATCTGGACAATATAACCAGTGATCTCGTTGATCTATCTGAGGTCATCCTGTCCCAGGCTACGTCAGCAGTGAATGACAGGTGCTCTGATAGCAATAAATACTGGTACTTCAGCAGCAGCAGCAGTCAGTGTGTCGAACAATGCTGCAGGTCTCGTGTGGGGCAGCGTTGTACAACCTGTCAGTATAGAAAATGATCAGTTGCTAATGCATCACTGAGTATACAAGTATCCGAGTGAGATACAATGCCTTTGCAATGTACGCTGGAGTATAACTTACATAAAACCATTATAAAACATTTGAAGTAAAAGCATTTTTGTCAACCATTAATATGAACTTTTTGACTACAGCGCTGACAATCATCTGGATGCTCCAGACTGCATTGTCATTGCCAATATATCGGTACCACACAATTTTGGACCCAAATGGACAACTGTCCTTGGACTGGGATGTGGACGGTGTGCAACAGTTGGTAAAGTTCCAGTTGGTCGCCATGGTGAACAATCATAAAAACAATTGGTTTGGTCTGGGTTTTTCTGACTACGGAATGACTAACGATGCCGACCTCGCTGTTTATTGGGAGGCCAATGGAGTTCACCACTTTCAGGTGAGTGGTCATTCTCAATATTAGAAATCTACTTCATTATAAACGTGTGTATTGAAATGACATAGACGAAAAATAGAGTTCAAGTCTCATGAACAAATGATAAGTAAATAAATATATAAATTGAGGTTGATCTATAGGTTACATGTATTGCAACCTCTATTGCATAAATATTATATGATAACGACTGAAAATACTGAATATGCTCTGGTAACCTTTACGTACATCCATTATCAATGATAAACGGGAATCGTTCTCGTCCTTCATTTTAGTTTTGATAGGTGTGTTAGGGGAGGGAGGAGCGATTTAAAGGTAAATTGTTACCAAAATGTGCAGTTTACTTTAACTACAATGTGACATTGATATATATATAGTTGTATAGATTTGAAATGTTGATGTGTTTTGAATTAGTTTTTTCAACAACAAATGTCTGAATTTTTAGCCTTGTGTGTTTAAGTGTTAACGATGTGTTAGTTTCTTTTTTGACGATACATAACTTATACACATATAGTCATCAATACAATGAACAGTAGAATTAGTGTACAGCTTTATTCGCATTCCTCTGAAGATGAGGAATACGTTAAAGAATGTACAAATAATTTTACCGGTGTCCTTTCTTGCCTTTCGTTTGTTTCAACACAGAATGTCTCTATTGTGATATGTTAGAACACTGATAACTGCTGTAATGCTTCTGTCGTTTGTACAATGACAGACAACACTAAAATCAAGCATCACTGCTAAACATGCTGTAAAACTAGATCATTTTCATTGATACCAATCCATTTGTATGCATCTAGTTGCCGTCATTTGTTCTCCCTTGTTACGTAGAGTTATCGTGCTGGATTTGCAACTGTCCTCCCATTTGACATGGTCCATAACACCTTCCTGCTTTCGTTTTGCTTTATTTGCAAGTTTAATTGTCCTTTGAGCCTCATAAACATGAAATATTGTGAATATTAACATCCTGGTTATTCTATAAATTTCATACATAACGATTTTCTGTCTACGCTTTTGTTTTTAGGGGTTGATCGAATATTAAATGACGTTTTCTGATGTTTTATCATTCTTTTTTGCATTGTAATATAATAACCAAGTATCATTTATTCTGTGCAGGTTGGCGACATAAAGAATGTCATTTAATGGAAACATTTTAATTCATTATTAGTTGAATCACATAATCTAGAAACAGTTAAACAGTTATTTGTGTATACTTATCATTGTGTTGTGTAGAAAAAATGTCATAAACTCGATTTTTCGTAATGGCCATTATCAACGCCTACATGCTGAAAATATTGAATAGAAAACTATTTTGTCTGTCTGCACGTCATGACTATAAGTGACATATCACGTTGCAACGTCCAATCTTAACGAATACAGTCATATTGTCCCCGCAAATTAATATTACGGAATTTCAAACTATAAAAAAGACGATTGTTTTCCTTAAAATTGATCAACCTATTTAAAAGAAATCTCTGTACACGCAAGTGATATGACCTCGACAAACATAAAAATATGATTTTCATTTGAACTTGACACGTTAACATAAGGAATGTGATATATGTTATCGGCGTTAATGTGAAAGATGTAGCTTGTTCCTATACAGATGCCTCTTTGTTCTGATTTCACCCTCGTTTACAACCCGGTGCTGAAAAAGTATGAAAGATTTTATATCGAAAAAAATTGCAACATGAGTGTTCTTCGCATTTTTGACGATAACGTTTGATAATATAATCAGCGATGTGAATGCTTCGATTAGGAGATAGTGCTATAGTTAAAAAATGAGTTATTTTCTTAGCATGTAAACAATGAAATAACGTGCCATCAAAGACGAAATAAATATCAGTGCTACAAGGGTTGGAAATGTCAAGAGATGTGTTTAAGTGAATTAAATTATAAGAATTTCTGCGCTTGATATTTTGTTATAGATCGAGATGGTGCAGAGTGTGTTTGATTCATAAATCTTTTCTGTAACATCCGATTACTTTAATAATTATCTATATGTTACGTTATTATTCGTGACGTCACAAGGTATTTGCTTTTGAGCTTAACTTGAGGAACTTGATAGTACCGCTCACAGGATTTCAATGTTGGAGGCAATCGCACTGCTCGTATGGACGTATGAACCTGACGAGGTAGCCCTATAGGCCTATTTCGATCACTGACCATACGATTCTCGTTAAAGACGAGTTCTTTGTCCATGACTCCGCTAGATCGTATAGAGTTGCTAGTAAACTGACCAAGATCTATTACATATGTAACTACCTGATCTGCTGCGAATATTCTTCTCTGGTGATAATCGATGGAATCGTTACCTGAAAACGGTTGCTTATCACAATGCGTACGAATTAAATTATCTCCATCAAGATTCGTAGCGAGTGCTACACGACATCTCCTAGCAGTTGATCATTTGAGAATATACGATATCATGTTGTTTTCCTTTATCTACGGAAGCATATTGTACACATTAGTTAAAATATTTGGAAAATATAGAAATAAAGACGTTTATTTTTTGGTAAATTGTTGATTTTCTCGCTACTTTTACCAATTTTCACAGACAATGTCAAAATAAGGATCGATATAACATAAACATTTCCTATTCACCTTCTGTAAAATGATTGAAAATCACGAAAACATGAAGATATACCGATATAATTCTACATAATGAAACAAACCACAACATAGCTGTATCTTGTTTAATTGCTGCGTATTACGGTACTACTTTAAAGTATCATATCCTTTATCTGTAAGATTAGGGAAATATATGTCCGCAAGGATATGTAGTCCGACACATCAGTATAAGTGTATGCTAAAAGAGCACGATACCATATAGAACAATTATGGAAAGCGATATATACATAAAAACTCAAATCGTATTAAGATGATCGATCGATAACCTACATGACCCAACTATGTATACAAATGTAACAAATCGACTCTGATGTGTCGAGATGTAATGATAAGAGATCATTATTCCGATGTAGAAATTTGATATGTTATCAATCATAATTGACAATGCCAGTGAATTAATTGCCTGTAAAGGGAGGTAATTTGAGAACCTGATTTTACTAAAACTCTCACAGGATTATTAAGCTGAATATTTACGAAGTGTCTTGTTTCAATCCATTCGTTTGTCAACTACCATAATTAATATGAAATTCATCCTGCCTTGGTATTCACTGCGCTATTGTTTAATTGAGTTTATTGTACTGAAATAGGACACATTGTCCCTTCATGGAGAACAAAATTAATGTGAAGAAAGCCTTGTTAACCTGACATAAAAATTAGAGAAATGTTATGCCAGAGTATATAAGTATATAACTATACCCTTTTCTGTAAATCATACAAATAATAATACTGTGTTTATATATATACATGTTTACTATACTGAAGTAAAATTACAACTGTAGTATTACTGTATAACAAAACTGATGTGTACAGTCAGTAAATGATTGACAAGGATATTTTTACCACATGTTTACAACATCATATTTAAATCATTACACAAGTTCATTATCATAATACAATTTTCATTATAGAGTTTGAAATTTATACTTCCTGATTAATAAAACTTTTAATATTTTATTACAGAATTTGATTCAAGAGTCATGTACGCTTGTTAGAGTGTCTGAAACAGCTGTAGGAAAACAAATATCTGATTACTTGAGTTAGAATATGTTTCATTGGTTGTAACTTATCACATTGGCCAGAACTCAGAAATAGCCACTATATATAGGCATTAAGAATGACGAAACAAAAGAGTGATAAAAGACCATATTTTCAATAGTTATATACACACATACGGAGGATCTTATTTTGATTCGGGCATCGTATTTGCTTTATGAAAACGTCAAGAAATTACCAACATGACAACCTGATCCAAATTCTATAAAAATATCAATCTTGGTAAAAAATATATCACATTCCCAAATAAGGAAATGCTGTCAACCAGATACTCCATTTTTATAATTTTGTCCTCCGTATTTTTTATTACTTAGCTTTTTTTTAAAAATACGCTTCAGTTTAGTTCACAATAAAGTCTATGAATTGTCAGGTGTTTTCTAAAATCAAACCAATGTGACGGGCTTCATAACTCTTATCCGAAATTGAATTTTTTAATTAATCGCGAACGATAACTTAACAGAAATCGTATTATCTTCATTGTGATGTCAAAAGCAAATTAATCACGTCATTTCATTTTCACCCCTGAAATCACAATATGTAATTTTAAATGATGGCAGTGATATATGAATCTTATTTTTTACAGCAGCATCCGTTCATCTCCAACTTAAAGATTTAACAAGCCGCAGTTGATTTAATATTCAAAGGCGTGTTTCCAATGTCACGATTTTAGGACAAGATGTCGTCAATTAATATAGAAGCTTACAAAAACAGGGTTTTAAGAGATGCAGGCTGATGAAGATCACTGGAGTATCTGTGCAGTCGTCATAAATAATCTTAACTGCCTTGTTCGAAAGGAAGTCGAACGTGTTTGAAGCTTCCTGGTGGGTACGTTCTTGTTTACCTTGTCCTCAGTGTTTGGAACTGAGAGTAACTAAGGTTTACATAGCAAGTGTCGCCCACCATGTCTATCTTGTTATGTAATAAACATTATTATGTAAGTCCAATATCTTATAACCCGGTCGAGTTATATACTTTGCCTTGTTACGTATCAGCTTCTTAATATTATCAATAAGACAAATGGGTTAAAACAGAAATATGGACTTTATTTAGAGTTTCAGAAATCATATCTGTTTTCAGAACAGTTTGATATGATGCATTCTATTTGATTAGTTTTGGTTTTCTATCTTCTTTCGTCATGAGTAAAATGTAACTCCCAGGCACTGCGTGTGTGATTTAAATTACATGATAATAGCGTAGGCCAGAGTGCCGGTTTGAACGGGAGTCGTATTTCGAAATTCAGATAATGAATGAATGTAGCATAACTTGTATGAATGTAATATTACTTGACAATCCATTTTGCCATACAATGTCGTATTATGCCTTTCCCCCAGTCATTCTAATCGCTTATGGTCGGAACGAAACGTTGACGGTGTTCTGTGTGTAGTTTAAGCAAACAAAGCGACCGAATTATTGTTACATATCATATAAATAATAATGAAACTAAAATACAATTTCTTCAACGATTTTATTCAAATACACAGAATGCTATCAAAATACAGTCCATTGAGTGCATTCTGTGTCAGTCAATGTTTTGTTATAAGAGATTGTTTGAGTACAGAGAGACAACACTCATTCACAATGATAATACCCATTCAACATTTATTCTGTACCATGTTACCATTACACAGATCGGTTGTAATGGGCTTTGACACTTGAACCATTGTGGATGTACAGATGACGTCAGTAGAATATCTGATGAAAGATGGTCAATATTTGTTTCGTTATCAAAGACAAAATGTCCAATCTAATATGATAATTAAATAAATGTGTTAATAGAATGTAAGGTGACCTATTCCTGTACGTAACACTACTCATTAATAGATTGATAGATCAGTCGAAGTTTCCATTCAACAACCTAATAGGGTGGTGTTTATCATTATCATTTATTTTTTTATCTTCATTCATAAAACACTCGAAAAATTGGAAGATCAAACGACAATCTAGACATTGATTCAGGGCGTTTTTTTGTTTTGTTTGTTTGTTTGCTTGGCTTGCGTTCTTTTTTGTATTTGTTTCCTCTTAATATGACCCGTTTTAAATCATAGCTTACTGAAATACTGATTTCTGTAAAACATTTACAGAGCGCATTGCATTCTTCCATCATAACAGTTAATTCACTATATCTTGATAATGCTCTCTCTATAATATACACGTTGAGTGATTATCCATTTGATGATTCATTTTCCAATCATGTTTTTTTTATGCATGTCCTCTTTAGTAAATGTCAAATTTGTTCTCGAGTTTGTTTTCTTATTCTATCTTTTCCAAATATTATTTTCTCTTGTTGTGTCAATTCTTTAAAATAACATAGACATAGTACATTCCTAAACAAATTGACCACTCGAATTGAATTTTTCCCTTGACTACATTGATATCCTGTTAATATAATGAAGCGGTAATGTACGACTTCGTGAGCAATTTTGCCTTCCTCGTTCATATACAAATAAAGTTGTTTTCACAATTCATCATGTCAGATATTACCACAACACTTTATTTTTTTCAAATTAAAGTTTAATATGTTTTTAAGCTTACTTGCTTCGATTCCCTTAGTTGAAATGTTGGGAACTAACGCTGATGTAGTAACTATTCACTTTGTGTGTCTTTTAAACGATCTTAAAGAATGATGGTGGTAGACACTGCTGGTGGACTTTATGTCCTCGAGGTGTCCTGTAACCTGCTTGCCATGCTTTAATTCATTCGAATTGTGGCATGGTTCAGAAAATGCGTATGTACTTGACGCCGTTCTAAAATTATTTGATGTATGAAAATTACGAAATTTATTTACTTACAACAAGTAGCTTCCCATTTGTTAAATGTATGCCGGCTATTACAACTAATTGATTTCGAAACAACTGCAACAAAATAACATGTATTTGCATATTTTATCTCCTTCTGTCTTTGCTAACATATTTCATGCAATGGATGACATTTTAAAGTCACTGTGTGATAAATATTGACAGTAGCAACGATCATACGACGGTTCAAGTTTCACATCCTATACTGTCATAGGATATAGAAGGAGATATTCTGGCGCGATTGCCATATGTTGCCTTTGTGATATGTATACCCAGATATCATGTGTGAAACTCTAACACATATCATAGCAGTTATGTCAATGAAAATCATATCGCTGGTTGGTTAGAAGGTAAGTAGGATTGATCATGAAACGTGTTCTAGTCTGACATATCAGCGAAGATCTATTTCACAGAACGACTGCCGGACAAGATATAGGTGTTTACATCAAAAATTGAAACATATTCATCGTAGATTTTATCTCTTTTTTCTGTCCTAACAGAATGAAGCAACTATAGGAAGATTTTTAGTATTAAAGGGTTGTATTTATTTGTGGTGCAGTACAAAAATGTCAACTATCGACACTTCATTTTTGCTTCAAACTTTTTGTTCTATTGATCATAGAAAGTTTATAAATGATTGCACATGAATAAAATAGTATGCTACACAACACCTTGGCCAGTTTAAGAGACAATGGAAAGGACAGTGTATTTATAAAACTTTCCTTGTACATTTCCAGCCTCCATGGGAAGTTTTCCTTCCAGATTTTGCCGTCGTGTCAATGATTTGGAGGTCACGTCAAGATCTGTTGCTTTTTTTTTTTTTTTTTTTCCTTTCTTTTTTACCAGACAGCTAATATTCCTACAGACTAACGTTACAGATAAGGGTTCGAAGCGTTATGAAATTCAACTTTAACAGCCGTCTTTAAAACAGTTTTGAATAACAATCATTGATAAACATTAACTGTTCTCCGATAGAACGACATAAAGACAACGACATTTGTTAAGGATAGTTATACATCTAAAATTGTAGCCAAACCAAACCATGAAATTATGAATTCTTAATCATGTCAACTCGTGCTGAATCATACCGAGACAAACCAAGTGCATTTGTAAATTAATCCAATCTTGGCCTCGAACGATCGATGAAGTTAAACAGATACTATGAGATAATAGTGATATTGTATTTCTGATACTAAATCACCACGATGCACGCTTGTCATTGTTACAGCCGCCTCAAAGCACATTAAAATTCAAAATGAAGTAATATATTTCGGACCCGCGTAATAATAATACAACCATGATGTATCGCTGTTGGCCACCAGTGGTATTAACAGTTTGACAGTGAACAAAACACTGAACAAGTTTTCATGTCTAATTCAATAGGAGACATGTAATTAGTATTTGATTGAATAATCTTAGTTTAAACTTTGCTTGTCTAGTGATATTGAATTTATGAAGGTAATTTTGAAGGAATATTACTGTTCATAGAGATAAAATTAACACGGATATCTCTGACAACAATATGGCGAGGATGTTATAAACAAATCCTAAATCAATATGTCGTATTGCTAGAATTATATTTCATGTTACTGAATGAAATATAAGTGGTTATTGTAAGGCTATTAAAAAGGATATTACGTATGAAAATTAGCTTTGTGAGATGCATTTCTTATCATAGTTAGGCTAAAAAGGATATAACTTAACGTTATCTGTTGAGAAGGATGTTGCTGATTAAAGTTAGGCTTTGAGGTAATATTACAGCCGAGATAACATTACAGCCGAGATAACATTACAGCCGAATATTACTAACCGATGTCACAAGTAGATTATCAAAAGTTATTCTAGAGTTCCAGAGACGATATGACACGTGTGTGCACACGACTATGTCATTGAGGTATGACGGTTTGTTGGATTTTATTTTATTAAAGTCTTTAACAGATGAAATTAGACAACGACTGAATACAATGAACACCACTAACAAAAAGGAAACTACTCATTCTATTGAAAAAGGATTTATTGATCAAAGTTGGGATTGTGAGACATCTGTTACTGATTATAGTCAGGCATTGAGATAACATTACTAACCGTTGTTACATGTAGGTTATTATAAGCAATGGTAATGATCATAGATAGGTTACTAGATGTAATATTACTTAATAAAATAAGTTTAATGAGCCGGGTATTACTGACCAAAGAGGCTATTACGATGGAGTGTAACTGATCACAGTTAGGCTATTGAGACGGACGTTACTGATCACAGTCAAGTTAATGAGACGGACGTTACCGATCACAGTCAGGTTATTGAGACGGACGTATCTGATCACAAACCATTGATATGGATAATACTGTTCACAGTCAGGTTTGAGACGGACGTAACTGATCACAGTCAGGTTATTGAGACGGACGTTACTGATCACAGTCAGGTTATTGAGACGGACGTTACTTATCACAGTCAGGTTATTGAGACGGACGTTACTGATCATGGTCAGGTTATAGAGACGGACGTTACTGATCACGGTCAGGTTATTGAGACGGGCGTAACTGATCACAAACCATTGATATGGATAATACTGTTCACAGTCAGGTTTGAGACGGACGTAACTGATCACAGTCAGGTTATTGAGACGGACGTATCTGATCACAAACCATTGATATGGATAATACTGTTCACAGTCAGGTTTGAGACGGACGTAACTGATCACAGTCAGGTTATTGAGACGGACGTTACTGATCACAGTCAGGTTATTGAGACGGACGTATCTGATCACAAACCATTGATATGGATAATACTGTTCACAGTCAGGTTTGAGACGGACGTAACTGATCACAGTCAGGTTATTGAGACGGACGTTACTGATCATGGTCAGGTTATAGAGACGGACGTTACTAATCACGGTCAGGTTATTGAGACGGGCGTAACTGATCATAGGCCCTTGAGATGGGTATTACTGTCCACAGTCAGGTTATTGAGACGGACGTAACTGATTACAGGCTATTGAGATGGACGTTACTGATCACAGTCAAGTTATTGAGACAGACGTTACTGATCACAGGCTATAGAGACGGACGTAACTGATCACAGGCTATTGAGATGGACGTTACTGATCACAGTCAAGTTATTGAGATGGACGTTACTGATCACAGTCAGGTTATTGAGACGGACGTATCTGATCACAGGTTATTGAGACGGACGTTACTGATCACAGTCAAGTTATTGAGACGGACGTTACTGATCACAGGCTATTGAGATGGATATTACTGATCACGGTCAGGTTATTGAAACGGACGTTACTGATCACGGTCAGGTTATTGAGATTGACGTTGCTGATCATAGTTCGGCTCTTTAGTCGGGCTTTATAGTACTGACTATGGTAAAGCTATTAAGAGATATATCTAACATCCTAAGTTTATTGAGAAGAGTCGTCTAAGATATTTTTCTACATCTTTGTCAACAGGATTGCTGGACGGACGATCATGGGCGTTTACACGTTGACAGGCACCAGGATTTTATTTTAGTAACATCATCTATTGAGGGACAGAAGCGCATTCTGGAGTTCCAAAGACGATATGACACGTGTGATACACACGACTATGTCATTGAGGTATGAGGGTTTTGCTGGTTTTAATTGTGTCAAAGTCTTTAACAGGTAAAATTAGACAACAACTGGACACAATGAACACCGCTATCACTACGTGAATGACTGCAGAGAAACATATCAATTCTGTGTAAATGTATAAACGCTTTGTTATTGCAGAATGGCACTACACATATATTGTTTTTCTTCGGTGAATCCAGTCCCCGTACATTGGAGGGTGTGTCATTGTCTGGCGTAGGAGTTCAAGTCACACGGGTACAGCTTCTAAAACCGGACATCCCCGCCCCTGTGTTCCCAAGTGATACATGGACATTTGACGTCACTGCTCCTTCGGTAGGTAAATTTTGTACTATAAATATTCGTCGGTGTCAGAATTCGGATTAAGTTTACAACCAGTAAAATAATAAATCCATCCAAGACATAGTTGGGATTCATTGGATGATGTTTCAGGAATTTGCTGTATCCACGACTTCATTTGCATACTTTTAACCTGACAAAGATAATCTGAAATTGGCCAGCTATTACACATGTAATCATCAAATGTGCTCCTTTCTGAATCAGAGTCCTACCAGTTTAGACTATTTCTATGTAAATATAACTGAATAAATATTTTGACCCGTTGTCAGGCAACAACAAGCTTTATTTTAATTGTATATTCATTATTTCTAACAAGACTGAATAGAATTGTACATGTTAAAAACCGTGTTTTCCTTTGTAGATCACAGTTCCCGATAAGGATACTACATACTGGTGGTATCTTACAAGGCTTCCTCACCTGTCTGAAAAACACCATATCATCAAGGTGAGTATATGTAATATATGTACAGATATCTTCACATATATTAACTAAGAATACAAATACTAAATATATATCGGAAAAATACACAGTCGCACATCTTCAAGGTGAGCACAAATATGTTTAAACATCATCAAAAACATATCAGAAAAACAATGGTAACACGTCATCATGGTAAGCATAAATATTTGTACAAAGCTCACCACACGTATATCAGAGATGTCATGGTAACACGTTAATAAGTTAAATATAAAAACTTGAGCAAATCTCAGCAAATGTATAAGAAAAAACCATGGTAACACGTCATTAAGGTGACTACAAATGTATGTATAAACCTCGTTATATGTCTGTCAGAAAACCTTGGTAACAGAAAAGCATGTTTACATATCGTTAGAAATGAGTACAAATATATCTACAAACCTCACCAGTGTCTATCAAAGACCACACCATTACATATATCGAAGATGTAATATTTAGTTTTAGCTATAAACATGTATAAAGTAATACATGTAAACACGCTATTGAATCAGTTATGTACACTATTCTGTTATAATAGATATAGTAGCACCTATGTTTAGGGCAATCACTTACTTATGAAAGAAATAACAAAATCCGAAGTATCAATGTGTAAAAGACATATCAAAATTACCTGTACAATTTATCCAATGTAGTACGAAAGTGTCATTCAACCCGGAAGTGAGCACCTAGTACACCACATGGAGGTATTTCAGTGTGAAATCGGCCCCAATGACGTCATCAGACCTTACAACGGCCCCGGAATGGCGGAAGGGAAGCCACCAGGACTGTCCGCATGTCGGAATGTTATCGGAGCCTGGGCAATGGGAGCTGGGGTAGGCAGTACTGTTGTGTTGTTGTATGATATGGAAGGATGTAGATATAGAAATGTTCTTTAAAATGAATCCATACATTTTTGAACGTATAGTTTTCTAATATCGTACAGCTAGTAATTTTCATAGGTTAACATTTTCGTTATTTGTTATTAAAACGGTCGAATAATTTATGAATAAATCAAAATTTTGCGATCTCAATTTAATGATACCGAATACTCGTGTGTCTCACGGATATACTTCACGGATTCAATTTTCGCTACTACGTTATTATACCTCGAAATAACGAAAATATCAATCCTGCGGATATAACCGACTATACGTTATACATTTAAGTTCTATATCATAATAAATGTGTTTCGTTAAGAAATAAGATCATGATGTCAGATTTACCACTATTGTTTTCATTTGTAGCCATTTATACTGCCCCCAGAAGCCGGAACACCAATAGGCGAGAAGTCTACATCCTCCTTCATCCTCCTAGAGATACATTACAACAACCCTAATATGATCAGAGGTATTATACAAGATAAAAAATTCGACAATGAAATAAAAATCAAATAAAAACCTGCCAGATAATTACACAAGAAGCACCAGAACAAGAGAAACTTTACTGGTATCAATGCAGGCATTCTTGATGCATCAAAAAAGTTTAGAAATAATTAGAAGCCAAATTCTCTCAAATATTAATGTTTCAACAATGGTTAAGTAATTATCAATAATTTGGTATTATCTGACCCATAAACTATCATATATCAAAACGATATTTTTATTTTCAATACCTATGTATACGTTATCAGTTTTACATAATCATATTGATAAGACAATTTTGCAAAAAATTATTTAATCCACATCTTTCTCCATACAGTAAATGTATACATACTTTCCCTTTCTTCTCGTCTGTTTACATATCATACTAAAAGCTTACTTTCGTTACAATAAATAAATACATTCTAAATAAATCAAATTACGCATTGCAATTGCAGGCATGGTGGATTCGTCAGGAATAAGATTTTATGTCACACGTCATTTGCGTCGCCATGACGCTGGCATTATGGAACTTGGATTGGAATACACAAACAAAATGGCTATACCTCCGGGTCAGACATCCTTTCCACTTACTGGTTATTGTATCGCTGAGTGCACATCTGTGGTGAGAACTTTCAAGTGAAACAACGTGGGCAATTTGATTGAACATATTATATATATATATTAATAAAAATGATTTTTGACAAAAGAAGAAAGACGTTACATTTTGCACTTTGACAAAAGAAGAAAGACGCAAAATGTAACGTCTTTCTTCTTTTGTCAAAAATCATTTTTATTTATAATTTACTCGCATCTCGTCAAATCAAGTTTTTTCTATATATATATATACGTTAACATTCAATGCTACTGTCTTATATGTAGAAAGTGTATTTAATATATTTTCTGGTTTTTCAAGTCGTGTCATCCTTGTACTGCTCATGAAACAGTGGAATTAGTGAACAAATACATGAAATCAGAATTTTTGACATCATTAATTTACAGTCTTCGTTCAATAACAAGAATTAGGTTAATCAATACAGGAAGTATGTAAACAGTTAAATGACTTCTAAACTTTCTTATAAAATAATTTCAATTGTTTACTAAAGGGCCTTGGTCATCAGAGCATTCACATATTTGGATCACAATTACATACTCATTTGACTGGAAAGAAAGTATATACCAAACACGTTCGTGATGGAGTAGAGCTTCCAGAACTCAATCGAGACAATCATTACAGTCCACATTTCCAAGAAATCCGTCGTCTTCCTGTTCCAGTCGAAATTCGTCCGGTAAGGTATTCTATGTCTTGCCTTGTGTCAGATGTATTTGAAATGTTGTCCTAATAACACAGAACAATCATGTTAGGACTTTCGTCCAATCAATGATGGAAAATGAAATAATGTCATTCTTATTCGCATTCTGTTTAACATATATTCAAAAAGGTTGAGTGATCGCATGATATATATTTTTCTGTGTTCAAAACCTCGACAATGTTATCATCAATTTCACTTTGGATGCACAAGCCTAGGAAAAAGCACACATTCTTTATCACTGATGCTGTAGAAAAAAATCGAGTTTCTACACATGAACATATACAGTTCTACTCTAACTATGGATTATTTTCTTGTCGGTTTTTAATAAAATAAAACTATTTTCTGTTTTGGTAGGGTGACGCCTTGGTGACTACATGTGATTACCATACTGAAGACAGACCAAACGTTACAGTGGTATGCTAATACTTTTTCGGGCTAAATCTCTGAATTCACACAACCATGGAAGCAAACCTGCTCTTCAACGGCTCTAAATTGATACATTCTTTCCCATATAGCTTCGCAGTCAACCCTTTTTCCTCATTTAGATCCAATGTAAATTCTGTCTCAAGCAGCTCCAGAGACAATCTCCCTTTTAGAGTTTTCTTTGACACAGCCCTTGAATCAAACTTCTTTTCTCATATCCCTAGGTTGCCTTAACATCTTGCCTGATTCGACATGCTGTTCCTTTCAAATTCATTAACCTTAGTTCCATGTATCATTTTAATATTTAAGTAAGACAGGACTAAATCCTCATATGATCTGCTGATTCTAGTGCCCACGTGAAATATTGATTGTTTCGTGTATCGCTTTCCTGTATTACAGTCTTGATGTGTGTTGACAGGGCGGGTTTTCTATCAAGGACGAGATGTGTGTAAACTATATACTATACTACCCCCGGACAAGCCTTGAGGTCTGCAAGTCCTCAGTACAAACATCAAGTCTTCATAAGTTCTTCAGCTTCCTCAATATGTAAGTCATCGTCTATGGATGTCTCTTTGATAAATCATATTGGCATGCAGTAGGAATTGGTCAGGAGGCAGAGTTTGTTTATATACTGATGAGGAAAGCAGAAAGAATAAAATATTACTATCATTATCACTTCATCACGTTTAAAGTGACCGTTCTAAGTAATGAAATATAACTTACATTACCATTCGTGGTAACCACCCCCGTATTGGTACTATTCAAGTTTTTAAAAAAAGGCGTTTGATCGTTCGTCAATAAATCATAATGCTGCAAGCTAGGACACGTGATAAAATCGAAACTAAATGAATGGAATGGGCATGAAATACGATCACACTTCCGTTTTCGATTGACTTCGAAAGCATTATATTTACAAAAACATTAAACGGTTTATGTCATTATAACATTTAGCGGTCTGTTATGGGTTATTTTACCATCACAAGTCACATATCATTCGTATTGATTAATTCATGGCCAGGTGGGACAATGACAAGACATCGAGGAGGAAGGGCGACAGAGAAAACTACAGTTCAATCCGCTGGTCACCTACCACCACAAAGCTTATGTTGTCACTGTACGACATGGCACCACTCTCGATGCAGTGCAACAGATCTGATGGCACACGCTTTCCGGTAGGTCTCCTCGCCTATCACAGAGCAAACGTTTTTTTCCCTATCACTTTCTACGAGTATTGATAAAATAAGAAAAGAGGGATGACATATGTAATACATAGAACACTTCCTGTTCCAGATTTTATAGATCTTTATTGACACTGTGCTGTGATATCATTTGTTGTATACCACAGGAACTTTAGCATTCCTTTTTATACATTATCTCTCTCTCTCTCTCGCTCTACAATGGTCCCATTACTTGCAGCTATGAAGGTGTGCCAATGAAAATAGTTTTATAGTAATGATATTAAAATATCAAGAGATATCAAAACTGTATTTTTCTATTCACTTAAAATTAACGCACACCTTCAAAAATTATATATTCTATCCAGGGAGTTTGGGAACAAGCAAAGAAGACACGCATAAATCTACCTCTCCCGAAGCCAAAGTCGCGATGTCGTTCAAGACGCCTGTTCCATTGATATCTGACATCAGAACGTATTACTTGATGAACACAAGACCACGCACCCAATGTCTATACAACGCAAATTCTACTGGAATAAAAATAGGACAACGATTAATGTGTTTCTGTTGTTTGTATATCATATGTTTATGTTTCGTTCAATAATGGAACCAAAGTCAAATGGAGCCTGAAGTAGGCACCAAAATAGCAAATGTTACGATGAAGGATAATTATGTGACATCACAATAGATCCTTCTACATGTACAATCCTTACTTTGATTTATTCACAGCAATGTTAACGTTTAATTAACGTTTTCAAACTTGATTAACTTTAAGATTTTCCAATAAGAAACTTTTTTTCCAATTCGTGATTCTAGTTTTGATAATTACATTGTCACCACCAATAGACAAATGACGAGTGTGTAGTAGTCGGGAGTATAATAGAAATTAGCATGACAAGATGGTGATAAGTTTATAGTAAAAACAGGTTGCATCGGTGATCTTACACAAATCCATTAGGTGGTTGCAATGTACTAGTGCAAGAAAGTCGATTTCGCTACGCTTTGTCTAAAAACCTGGTCAAGAGGTGCGATAGTATATGAGCCTAAGTACTGTCATATCGCATCGTATCCAGATGGGTTCCTTTGCCTGTTGCTTAAAATGGTTGTTTTCCCTATCTACTACTTTGGATTTATTCAACCAATCACATTAATTTGCTGTGTGGCGTGCTAGTGCCGTTTTCAGCGTCAGACTGTTTCTGTTTCGATGTGATGAATATCCTACATCATTGGGTTTCCGTATCTTTCTGGTGTCGGACCCCGATTATCTTCCTTGTTTCTCCAACCTACAATACGCGGCAGTTCTTTCATTCAACCTTGTTTACACTTTCCGCGACGTTCTCTTACGATGGTTCGATGTTTTATCGTTAGCATGGACATATGGATATAACAGAATGACGTGTGAAGTTTCAAGGCTGATTGCAATGCCATGACCGCGTAGTGTCTCATTTCTGATAATCCTATAATGTAGGGGATATTTTCTCTTTTTAAGATTTCATTCTTTTCCTTGGTGATTCTTCTATCATTTCTTCGCGTTTCCTGTCCTAAACTGTTAACCTTTGAGTTGCCCAACCGGTGATGTGACTTTGCCCGTTTTTTCTTCCAACTTCTGTACAATTTTTACATGTTGTAATATACTCAAACGTTACTGCTTCATAGTAGTCTATCACAATTCTACATATTCTGCGACTTGCATTCAGTCACTTAGAAACTTTTAATAGTTAGGACAATGAAAATATAAGCTTCCAAATAGGCAATCAACTATTTCTGGGGTTGCAGTAGTGACAGGCCTTCCAGGACGGGCGTCATCCCCAAGGCTCTGTCTGTCGCACTTATATTCCGCTATCAATTTCACAGTAAAATGCTCTAAATTTATTATCTTTGCTTTGTATCTGGGACAGAATCCCTACACGTGGGACAGAATCCCTACACGTGGGACAGAATCCCTACACGTGGAACAGAATCCCTACATGTGGGACAGAATCCTTACAAGTGGGACAGAGTCCCTACATGTGGGACAGAATTCTTAAGACAGACAGAATCCCTACATATGGGACATAATCCTTACACGTGGAACAGAATCCCTACATGTGGGACAGAATTCTTAGACATTGGACAGAGTCCCTACATGTGGGACAGAATCCTTACAAGTGGGACAGAGTCCCTACATGTGGGACAGAATTCTTAAGATCACACGTGGAACAGAATCCCTACATGTGGGGCAGAATCCTTACATGTGGGACAGAATCCTTACACATGGGACAGAATCCCTACATGTGGGACAGAATCCTTACAAGTGGGACAGAATCCCTATATGTCGGACAGAACCCTTACACGTGGGACAGAATCCCTACATGTGGGACAGAATCCTTACACTTGGGACAGAATCCCTACATGTGGGACAGAATCCTTACATCTGGGACAGAATCCCTACATGTGGGACAGAATCCTTACAAGTGGGACAGAGTCCCTACATGTCGGACAGAATCCTTATGCATGATACTGCTTACATTTGTGCTGACTAAACAAACTTAATAAATCTACTTAAACAGATGTAACAACAGAAACAGCTTACTAGTATGTATTACATTTTATTCCTGTGAGGGATAACAAGTTTGTCTATGGGGTTAATATGATACCACATAAAACGGACTTTCTCCGAATGGTACTGAATCGCCTCAAATATCTGTGAAAAGGAGGAGATTTGTAGTGCATTGTATATATATACAGTTACTGTATAATGACATACAGTCAACAATTTGTACCACACATTGATCCTAATAAATAAAAAATAAAATACATTGGTCATACAATCACAACATAGAAGATTGTGTTTCACAAATTCTTAATGTACAAGACATCTAAATGCTTTCAAGCACATTATTGGTCTGTATAAACATAATATATCTATAAGCAATAGGCATCAAGTTTATGAAACCCTGAAAGATTCATAGAATGACGTACAAACGATACTATATGTAGACAAAAACCTACACTATATATCAACAGTATCTAAGTCTACCCCAGTTAGAAATAAGATGTAAGAATGAAAGGGTTCCGTTAAAATTACAAGACATACTACACTGTATTATGTACATGTACAACAGTGGGAAATTATCATTTACTGGCTTCATAACAAATAAGAAAAAAATCACAACCAAATTTTTTCTCATATTTTCTCCAAATGTTTCTTTTACACTTTTCTAATTAAAAAGAGAGCTCTACTTTTGCCATCCTTCAAGAGAAATTCTGCAAAATAGTGCTGATATCACCAATGCCAGGCTGTTTACTAGTTTTATTTGAAACAAACTAAAACTTGGGACTCAAACGTTCTCAGAATAGATGTACAATTCTGGCTACAAAAGTTGTGTTTTCTTTCATTATCTGATTGACGAGGAACAGAATAATCAACATCAGTAAGATGAGTTATTCAAAATTACATTAACATATAAAACCATGTTTCAGCAGTTGCCTAATTTTCTATACTAAAAGCACTTTTCTGTCTTTTTATTTCTTACATTAACAATGCTGTACCATACACCTACATGACGAGTTATTTTCTCGTGTATCTGTTGAAATCGTAGCAGTGGTAAGTAACTGCTCTATAATGAATACATGCATCCTTGCTCTAGATAAGAGAAGGATAATAGCTATAGTGCCAAATGCAAAAGTCCAGAATTTTCTTTCAAATATAAAACATTTAATTAAAAATTTAAGGCATTATTTCATGTACTAAACACCATAACATTTTCTGAAATATATGAACTTATTGTAACCTCCTTTTCTTAAGTATTTAACATTATTTTTTTTCAATATAACCTCAAAAACAAACACTAAATAAATCAAGGAAAATTTGACAAAATTAAACAATAAAAAATTGTGTTACTGCATCAGTCATTTCAAATTCATTTAACCTTAAAAAAATCAGCCATTGAAACCTGGTCGGTTTTTAATATTAAAATTCATCTAAGTCTTTATACATTTTGTACATATGAAGGACCTTCATTTGTGCTTGACTCTAGTTTCCATCAAATAATTTTGTATATATATGTAGACTACAATATTATTTTCATTTCTTCTTTTGGAGCAATATGTCAAAGCCAGGAAAAAACTTTATACTGCTAAACTAGATTACGATGAAACATGATCCTTATGATTAGACTATAATCATGATTAAACAACAAATTATCATAATAACCTGATGTACATGGCATCTATGAATCAGAAACATACAATTTGCTATTGAGCAACACAGCTTCCATCTTTCCTCCTCTTTGAGCTTAATTTGATTTATCATTACAAGAACATAAGACTTTTTACAAGTAAGTTCTGATGATGGCGGTTACATATAGAAAACAGTAAAGTTCAGAAAATTGAAATAATTCATTACAAATGGTGATACTAGATCAAAGTTTAAGATTTAATACAGAAATTCTATTAATAATCCACAGCTCTTACACTGATCAACAATGAGCAGTCAATAAACGTCTTTCCTTTTCAAAAAGGGAAAGAGACCTTTCCTGTTAGAATCTTGATCCATAGGCATGTCTTAACTTTATCTGTAAAAGTGTTTTCCATAGGGATTTGATTTACATGGGGAGTTTTCATTGTCTCATTTTCCATTCCAATTACCACATCATCGAAATTTGGTAATTTTTTTTCTGAGCTTTATACATACAGAATATCCTGAGCACATGACATGTTTTAATAGAGCAGATATGAAAGGTCACTTGATCACTGATGACACCAGGGGACTGTATCATGGCACTGTGATATCATACAAAATAGAAATCTGGTGACATTTACAAATATTTTTATACAAAGTAACATTTTCTAGGACTAATACGAGAAGCACAAAATTTAAAGAAAATTGCATCATGTATAAATGAGATAAGCAAAACAGAGAACTTAGAGATATTTCCTGTTAAATCTTACAGAAAATTTTTACTAATCCTTTCCAACTGATGACAGAGTCTTTCAAAACAATCATGAACAAGTGAATAAAAGTTTTTATTCCAGTTCAATGTTATTTTATGCAAATATCAAGTTCTGCTCTGTTGAAGCATAATTCTTGTACCAGCTGTTTGATAAAAAAGATCCTTGTGAGATCTTTGTGTCCACAATTGTTTGGTCTTTATATTTTCTTTTAAGAGTTTTCCCTTGTTTTCTGGGTTTTTTTTCTGTGCTCTTTCCGTTAATTATATGAAATTTTAAAAATACCTCAAAAATAGCTATACAGTCTTTAACTGTCACATCTAAGATGGTTGCCGATTTCTGACGAGTCCAAAAGTCAAAATAGGTACAACTAGCAACCAAGGGGTACCTACATATAAAATATAAAAAAGATCCAACCAATGTTTGTCAGAAAATAGCAATAACAAGCTTTTATAATCAAATCCAAGGTGGTCATGTCACCCCTGTTGTTCATTGGCTCATTCCTAAAATCAAATTGGTACGACTGTGGACTAAGGGGAGACTAAAATCAAATTGGTACGACTGTGGACTAAGGGGAGACTAAAATCAAATTGGTACGACTGTGGACTAAGGGGAGCCTAAATCAAATTGGTACGACTGTGGAATAAGGGGAGCCTACATATGTTAATTTGACAAAGGCTCATTGAGTACTTCTCAAGAAATTGTGATAACAAGAATTGCCTATTGATGAATAACGAACAATGGAGCTAAGGTGATTTAAATAACCCACCATCTAATGATGGTTGGCTAACAAAATCAGGTTTTTAGAGGGATTGAATCAAGACTTTGCAAAATCTGTATGGAAATATTTAATATTTATGATGTGACTTTAAGATGTACTCTAAAAACGATGCTGCATAAAATGCATTGCAACAAAAATCAGTTTTGATTTAGCCAAGAATAATAGCAAAAATTTCTTTTAGCCGAGGTCATCATTTATTTCAACGCCTCAAATACTATTCAAAACTGGGACCTCCATCTTATTAGTCTGACGCTGAGCAGATCAAGCTAAAGGAACATCACTTTAGCTGAGCAATACATTGGAAAGATCTTGTCCATCGAGTATTTTAGGGTCACTATTATCCCCAAGTTCCTAAAGGGGCATCAATGTAACAGACGTCATTGTTCATTTCAGCATAATACTCTTGCTTCCTCCCAGAGTAAGAACCCTTGAGTCAACAAGAGTGACAAATATAGGTTGGAATAACGTGTTTGGTAATTTTTGTAAAATGACGTTTAATGAATTAAAAATAGCTCTCTTCGCAAAACAACTGAATCTAACACGAATATGACGTCTAGTAGATAATCAGCTGGTCACTTCACATTTTTTACATCAGTAACGAGTTAATACAGGGTCTCCTATGAAACTTAAAAGAAATTCACTGACATTGGAAATCATGTAATTTGTTTTCATTATTCTTTAAGTTATTCAACAGCCAGCAGTTCCACACGTACATTGAGCATTAATTAATAGTAGTATCGTATTCTGATTGGTAATTATAAATTGTCAGTATCAAATAAATGATTGAACAATGATGATATGGGCTGAATAAGATATGCCTGTTCCAAGAAAAAATTATGATTGAAAAATTAATCTGGTCTTGTTATCTTGAAGTATATCCTCTAAATTGTTTAGCATAATACAAGTGTCTTTTTATGTTATATAGTGATACATACTGATTTTTCAGTCCCGCTCGCTGTAAATTTGTGGATAAAATTCTTTGATACTGACGCAATGACAAAATGATTTGCTGTTGTAAGAAATGCCTTAAATATATAACATATATGACCTCATAACAAAAAAAAAAAGAAAAGAAATTAAACCAGAAGGCTTGCCATCTGGATTTTCTTGCAGCTTTGCAAATCCTATTTGATATAAAATCTGTGTAGTTTGTAATGTACCTGGTACATGTAAGTTTTAACATGAGGCCACAAAGGTTTCAACTCCAGTCAAGTTTATGTTTCATCCTTCAGACCATCTCCCTTGAGGAGTTCAAACAGGAGGCCGCAGGAGGTGAATTCTGGCGGCATGACTGTGTTGAGAATCTCTTTGCCAATCATACTGACACGAGAGATCTCAGGGAGGCGTAGCAGCATTTCACCAAATTTGTTGTTGTGTTGTGGATAATGAGAGTTAGTGTAAAGTCCTAAGGCTTCACAGATGGAGTCCTGGTGTTCCTGGGCTTTCCCTGGCTCTTTCAGACCTTTCACATCTAGAAACAGAGATAACCAACATACCAAAGGAGTGAAACGCACATTCCCAGCACCTTATCTACACATCTCAGACAGATTTTCTGGGTTCATTTATGTCAAATACAGAACAGAAATCTTACTAGGTTATTTATGTCAAATACCAAACTGAAACAAAATACATTTTTCAATGAATTTTCCATTTTTGAAAACTCTTGAACATTGTAGGAAATATTAAGATGAAATTTTATGGAGATTATGCTTTCTTTAAATATAATTATAAATATATAAATATATATTATTACTCTATATAGGAAACAAAGCCCTGCCTACAAATCAAAGGAGTGCACATGGTAATTATAAGTCCTGTTAGTAATAAATTGTGGTTATCTATCAAATTCTGAACTGAAAACAAAATTATAAGTAATATCAGCAATGTATCTGATCAATAAGAGTACCATGTGCAAAACCAGAAAATATCTAGACATAAATGTTCCCAATGCAATGCAAACCCAAATTTAATCAGGTGTAGAATGTATGCACCAATTCTGCTGACAGGTATGCTGATTTCAAAGGGAATATATGAAATGGGACAGACTAGACATATGGTATCTCTATATGCCCTCCAATCCCAATATTAAATGGCAAACGTGTAAAATGTACTTTAAATTTGTTTGTTATGTTAAATGTTACACATACCTGGTGTGATAAGCATGAGAACTTTCAGGGCCACAAACTCATACTGGTCAACCTGTAGACGTCTTAACTGATCTGTGATGGCTAGCAGTCTGGACACAATATCGTCAGCACCGTGTCCTAATTTGATGGCCTTCTCCATGTCAATGGATTTGCCCATTGGTAGGAATATTTCTGTTGTACTCTGTATAGAACGCATACAACAGTTGAAGAGCAGCAAGTCAGCCCAGCAGTTCTGAAGCAGCAGGATCTGATCGTCTGTCTGTGAAAGGATTTAATACATTTCTGAATGAGGGGTATAGAAAATAATGTGAAACTTACATTGTACATTCAATGCATATAATTCAAGTGCACACTCCTTATGTTGTTAATATGCAAGTGAAGTTTGTTAACAAGGGCCTAACTGAGGCACAATATATGCCCGTCGCCAGTCTTCGATGGAGAAGCAGTATTTGATTGAATAATTAAGTTGTCTGGGAATAATTTAAATATCAATTGGGGAAGTTTTAGCCATGTCATACCACCAATTGCTAATACAGTATGTGAATTTATGATTTACATATGCTATATACTAACTAGGGAAGTTTACAAAGAATCAACTAAGGGGGAATAACTCAGACACGATGCATGTGAGGCGGGCAATTTTTATATGTGACACTCCGTCACCTTGAGATATATATGTGTACAAAGTATGGTGACAATAGAACAAGGACTCACAAAGTTATGGCCCGGACAAGGAAAAATTTACAAAAATCAACGTAAGACATGGGAAATAACGCCATACCTAATACATGCATACTCAGGCAATTTATAAAAAGAATTACCTAGAAGGCAGTGCATGAATTAAAGCGAGAAGGCAGTACATGAATTAAAGACTTTAAAATTCTTTCAAATCTTTTAGCAGCATCAGATATTAAATTTCAATGAAAATATAAAGTATTATAAGAACAAACAGATGATATTAATAAGGTAGGGATTTTCTAATCAAAGAATGGTTTATTGTCTGTCACATCCAATTTGAACTGACACATTTCATATTTATCTACACGTACATTATACAACACCATGATTTGATGTAAATAGCTGTTATATAAGTCAATATGCTATATACATGTTCCCTAACAACACATTCTCTTCGCCTTGGAAGAACATTTTGTATACAGATATACACTGGGAAAACATGGGTGTATACATACATACACTGGGAAAACATGGGTGTATACATATATACACTGGGAAAACATAGGTGTATACATACATACACTGGGAAAACATGGGTGTATACATACATACACTGGGAAAACATGGGTGTATACATACATACACTGGGAAAACATGGGTGTATACATATATACACTGGGAAAACATAGGTGTATACATACATACACTGGGAAAACATGGGTGTATACATACATACACTGGGAAAACATGGGTGTATACATATGCATAAACTGGGAAAAACATGGTATATACATATTGTGAAGGCAAGAAAACCTAGAGTGATCTTGACGCTCACAACTGTTTGATATTTATTTGCTCTTTGAAAGTTGAATATTTTCCCTTCTTTTCTCTTCTCTGTTATTGTCAATAATCATTGAAAAATTCAAGATGGCCATCTGTCAGCCATTTTGTTTTTCTGATCAGTCACAAAATCAAACGTGCATAACTAGTGACCAAGGGGAACCTACACAAGAAATCCGAGAAAGATTCACCAGTTACTTCTCAAGAAATAGGGATAACAGAATTTGTTAATGGACAGAAGGAAGACAGACCACAGATTCAGGGTGATTTGAATAGTATGGGAGTATACATATACAAACATTGTAGATACATTTTAAAAGCTATGCCAGGTCATGGCAGGTGCCTTTTTTTCTTCCTGAGTAAATACTGAAATCAACATCATATAACAGCTTCAGTTCCATACTTACTGCTATTGCACTGAACTGTGGAAGATTTCGAGCCCAACGAACCAGCTTGTACAGTCGAAGCTCAGCTAATTGTAGCAAGGACAACATAAATGTTGGGTCATTTTCTGACAAACGATCTGCTGGAAAATCTGCTTGGTTTTCATCGTCACATAAATATGATTCAACATTCATGATTTCTGTCAGTAAATGAGGAACAAATGGCTTTACAGTTTCTTCTGGCACAGATTTTCCATTGCGATTAAGAATTGCCATGAGCTGGCTCCCAGAAATATCTTCACCGGTCGGCAAAGTCACATGCACATTTTCTAATGAAGTGTTGGGATTATTGGCACTTGGTGCTGCCTTACGCTGAGAACCTGGGGTGCGTCTGGGAGGTTTAGGTGTAGATGCAAGTTCCAGTGGGTAGACTTTAGGACGTCCATGTGGTGAACAGCCGTCGTAACTGCTCCTTCCTCCCCTCATCCTGTCATGTCTGATTGCTAATAGAGTAAATATAATCAGTAAGACAACCCGTTTTTTTTCTGAAGACAATCTGTCAATTTGTGTGTAGTATATATACATTACAGAAATAGAGCAATCACCTGGTATCTATTTAATATTAAGTTTATTTTTTAAACAGTTCAATCTTCATTCAAATTGAATCATTATATTTAACTAAATAAATTAACATCTGTGCTTACCTTCAAGTTTCATACCATGGATAATACACTTAGCGAACCGGCATGCTGGACACTTCTTTCTACTTAGCTTTGTTATTTCACAATCTCCTTTTCGATGACAAGCGAATGTTTTCTTGTTTTGTACAGTTCTTTTAAAAAATCCTTTACAACTTTCACATGTAAATATCCCATAATGGTAACCTGTCAACAAAAATTGTCAGATCAAGTACAACTAATTAAAACACAGTGTAAAATTCACAGTTCCTGACCAGTATTAGAAGTTATCTATATCTTATAAATAAGCATTTTCTGAAGGTTGTCACGAAAGGTGAACAATAGAAATATAATGACATGGAAAATGAGTCGTGGGGGGGGGGGGGGGGGGGGGGGGGGGGGGGGGGGGGGGGGGGGGGTATTATATGTTGTCACAGTAACAATTCATGTCATTGATGTAAAGTTGTGACATACAAATACCTTATGAAGCCAGCAGAGCAAAAGATATGTTCAAATTTTAGTAATAGGACATCACCTAAATTGTTTTTAAATGTGCAGAGAGCTCACGTATCTTGTGTCAACTCTAAGGTGACACAAGGGAATCTCATACCAAGAAAAAGCATGGATTTACCTTTCAATGATAACAGAACCACATTTCATGTATGTATTAATGATTGTTTGTGTAATTTAGTGTTTTTGTATTGTTGAGGGAGTTTTAAATTAATGCACCTTTTCTAATCTGTTTAGTCTACAAGTGTGATTGTGGGACTGGTAAATGCCAGTAGAGACAGACCAGTAAACAACAAACAGTGGATGGTAAGCTCAATAATACCCTCACATTACAGATTAGGGCAAGTATTTCTATCCAGTTTACCTCAATATTACTTCATCACTTTGCCTGTTTGTCATTGTTTATATAATTATAGTAAATTCATAATGTCTCTAGAACCTCTAAATGGTCAAGAACAGCTTAAGCATGTATAGTGTGACCGGTTAATAAGGGCACATATACACTTTGTTTACAAGTATGCTTTCTCGTGTATTCAGAGTGTTATAACTATTATTTCGGTAATTGCTCACTGAAAGGTAAATTACGATCACTATATACTGGCCGTAGCTTGTTAGGCTGACACTGTACCAATGACGGTGACCATGACAACCACTTAATTGTTGTAAGTAGGTGATTGTCGTTGGCAGAGTAACTGATCCTCCACCCAGAAATCTGATATGTACTTGTTGTATCCATTTCCTTCAGTATATGGAAGGATGAGCTGACTGTGGTCTGTAGGAGATTAAGGGTCCAGATGGGAATATTCCCCTTTCATAACACTGACATCATTTCAATAATGCCACGCATTCAGAATGAGATACAGTGCCAGCAGAGTAAGAGAAAAATAATCATTTATGTAATCCCTTTGAGGGCATGAGTAGGAAAAGATTATTAAGTTACGAACACTCGGCAAGACTCATGTTTTACAACCTAATAACCTCCCCAATCAGATTGTGATTCCCCTATCTCTCCCTCAAAGGACTGAATCCAAAAATTTCTATCAACTGTACCTGAAATTGCATCCCCACAAATTGGACATGGTCCCATGGAGGGGTCTGGAGGTAGCCCCGACTCCCTTGGCATAGTAGATATCACCTCCACCGGTGCGTTTTCATTAATCACTGTAAAATTGCCATCCTCTGAATAACGAAACTGTTTCATGATTGATGAACGGTCCAGACCAACACTGCTGGATTTGTCTGTATTAGGCATGTAAATTCGTTGTCCATCTTGCTCAATCACCATGCCAACTGGCTGGCCTCCAGCGTCGGACACCACCACGTCATTAACTGGTGACGGCACATTCACCTGACCATTGTTGTCCTGATAACAAAGAATCATCTGTTTTTCCTGCTCCTGCACATCAGTGCCTTTCGAGTGCATTTGAGTAATGTCAGCAGTTTGAGAAACAGTTTCTGTCACTGTGTTGTTTTCTTTTTCTTTATCTCCACCTGTTTTCAAGTGGTGAGATGCAAGGGCAGATAACACATTGACCATACTTAAGTCCCCTCCAGAGTTTGAGCTTATGATGATGGTTTCCCGGTCAGATGTGTTCTCTTGGTCCTGCAGTCTGGTCTCGTCCTGCACCTGATGTACAGCACTGGTTAATGCATTCTGTTGCTGCAGCTGGTCGATTTTCCATTTTAACATGCTCTTAATGTTTTCTGTTGAGATGTTGATGGTTTCAGAAGGAAACACTTGGCCTGAACTTTCAGCAGTATTTTCTAGATCTGATGATACTGATCTGGAATGTAGACGAGAATGATCAGCAACAGGTTCATTCATACCCTGCAATATGTGATTGACAGAGTGACCTCCAGAGGCCTGGAGGTCATCAATCATCTCCTGTTTGACATTGATGTTGGGTTGCATGCTGACAGTATGTCGGTCCTTGGTGGAGGTCAGAGTCTGTGATATGGCCTGTAGGAGCACTGGAGAAATGGTCACCTCATTAAGCCCACTCATGTCTGCAATAGAAATACTTTGTATTACTTACAGTATTCCTAGATTAATGAATGTAAAATAAAGTAATGATCAACGAATGAATGCACAAAATGCACTAGATCAAATGTTCTTCACAAACTTTTGCTGAAATATAGACATAATGAGGTTAATTAACAATTACAAAATGGAAATCCTTATCTGTTGATCAACAATCTGGATATGTAGATTTTTGTGTCATATAAGATAACCCATGGACACAAACACTGTCGTCTTTATACATAAAATGGCGAGCCGCCTGAACCAGCCAGTAGAATATTAGTAATAAATGTTACAAAATATGTAATTCTGAATTGACTTAGAGTTATCAAATAACATTTGCAACATCCGTAACAAAATCCTGTGCTGATAACAGTATTTTAGTTATTGTATCACTACTTTGGCTGTCATTTCTACCCGCCATCATGTATTCGTGTTTACAAAATGAACTGCCGAGTTTTAAAAACTATCGCACAATGTTATCAGTGCTAAATTTTATAAAGCAGGGTTTTCCATAATTTTGTTAGTAGTAGACTGTGTTGTGAAAGTAGGAGGCTGGCGAAGCCAGCCGACCCGAGCCGCAACGCGGCAGTGGCCTGCCGTGTACATGCAGTCGTGTACGGAACATTATTACTGAACTGGATTGGTGTAGGCGGCCAAATGATCAAAGTAGCCGGTCAAATTGGCCGGCGACCGGCTCTTATGGAAAACCCTGATAAAGGTTTCCCAAACCAAAGAAGTGGCCAAGTTGGACATTGAAAATCCACTGTGAATATCAGGAGAGCATAGAAACTTAACTGAAAGTGAAAAAAACATGCACAACCTGTAACTGGACACTCATGATCAGTGAACTGGGTCTGAAAAAATTGTTATTTTTTTTCTGAAAATTTTATTTGAGTTCAAAAATATGCCAAGGAACTGTTCAAAATAAATACTGATGTGTTTGCAAGTAAAGATTGTACATTTTCCCCTTAACCAATGAAAGACTTAGGTCCTAACTATTCAAATGACTCCCACCATCAGTTAAATGTTTGTCATAAACACTTGGAATATATTTTACAGGACATTTCACATCCCTAATGATAATGATTAATATGAATGTCACTATTTGCTTTACAATACATGAATGTCATAAGTGGTTTGAATAGTCTGAAGGGTTCTGAATACTATGAGTCTGTGGGGACCAAAACAGAACTAAAATCATGGATAGCTATAACATTTCTGACTACTGTCTGCTCTGACAAGCATCAAGTAGAAATTTCAAACTAATAACTTGAAACTCCAAATATATTAGTGTAAAAATTTACAACATAAATACCGATTCAATTAACAAAAAATAAAATTCGGCATTTGCCCTGGTCACTTTGTTAATACAGATGATTGTATTACACACAGGAAATTGTGACATTTTACCACAAAACGAAAAAACAGTGTTGTGACCAAACTTCATTCAGTGTAACATCTACAAGAAATTTTCAGGGATATAAGATTTTCAATGCAAAATTAGTCGATAAATTACCATACGTTATTGACGATATTCTGATAACATTTTGACATTATTGTAATACATCGCCATCGGATATTAGGCAGAAACAAAATCCTTAACAATGTAGGCCATTTAACATGTTTACAAATCATGGTAGTAGTTTCCGAGTTCGTTATGGTGATTATTAGAACTTTCCTAGCGTGTAAAACAAGAGAGTGATCGTTTGTTTTCATTACAAGGCCGAATATCGGAGTCGCTGTCAAGGTCGGGATGCCGGTGTCCAAACTGACCATCGAAACACTCCAGACACGTGATGAAGTGTGTGCGTCACATCCACACATCAATATGCAATTAAGGAAATCAACCGTACCCCGTAAGCGTTCAGACAATTAAACGTACTTCCCTGTGTATCTAAACGGGACATACAAAAATGGACCCTCCCACGTTGTGTTGTCAGAATATCACCGCGCACATGTGGTCTTTGTTTGAAAACAAAGCTGTAGCAAATTTCTAAATCCCCAAAATATTGGCATCACGATTATCCTTTAATAACGAGGAAATCACTACATACTGATTGAGATGTCCCTGTTAATATTCCGTGAGGTATAGGCTACTCATATGGCTTGTAAGTTTATAGATGGCTTCTAGGCCTAGGTACCCGTGCTTGGTTTCGATGCTCTTCGGCCATGACCTTGCACCCTCTGAAACGTCCTTCACTGATTCTTTCAGTTCTCCACGCCCCTCTAGTTTGGCAACAAATTTAACATTGTTTAAGTTAACTACTTACCACAATCAATTGATATTTTCAATTTTTCTTTCCAGATTTTTCAGATTTTCACAATGGCGGCCATTTATGTGTATTTGGACGCCATATGACTGAAATCAATTTTTACGTAGAGAGTATTACTCCGCGAAGGTTGTAATTTATTGGAACAACGAGTTACCTCCCTTATAACGTTATCTGACAGTGCGCTGTGCTTGAAACTGGTCTTCAATAAATTTGGAACAACACATTTCATATTTTAGTTTTAAATGTTTCTTTTATTTTTTCTATAGCGAACATTAAATAAGTCGGTATTTTTTTTAGACTGACACTGAAAAAGATAAACTATATCGATTTAGTTTATGACTCATCGGAACTTCGGTAGGAATTAAATTATTTTAGACACCGAAATACGCCGGTTCTGATCACTTGGTCATAGTGTTGGTAAGATACATGGACTTACAAATCACAGATCGTTGACAGAATGAAGCAAAATGTTAAAACATTTAGAAACAGCATTGCAACAATGGAATAAGGAAAAAAGCCAATAACAAATTTGAAAAGTAATGCGCACGACAATTAACACAAGAAGTGAAATAGTAAATAATTACACGCAGTTTGAGGTAACGTCATCAGATGTTTGAAGTGATCATAAATTTGTTGTTTTCTCTTTAACAAAATAGACTCAATGACTTTTGTGTACATTCTAAAATTATCGATAAAAAACTTTTTTATTGCTGTATACATATAACAAAGAACATTAACTCATCTGAGTAATTACAACAAATATAGCATAGCAAATCACCAATGTTTTTTATTATAGATATGCAGAACTGAGAAGACAAATTTTTCAAACAAAAGGTACATGCTATAAAAGATATTCTTAGAATGGGTTTAGAGCGTTCTTTGAACGAAAATAAAATAATATATGTATTATTTTCATTATATATGATCCAAAATGGTTGAAAACCGCATCAAAATCGACCTGACCAGTACCGAGATATTGACGTTATTTTCAAAGCGAACGATTTCAGTCTGTTTTTCAGTTACTTCATGTAATTAGCAATTAGCGTAACTCGCACTGAATGGGACTCTATCGACTGTGACGTTAGAAGTTCAACCACTGTAGCAACTACCATGGGAGGAATAGGCGAGGTCAAGAACAGTCATGATATGCAACATCAGGTTGCAAATCCATATCATGCTGAGTTCTGATGAACCAATGATTTCGACGATAACATTATGCAACATTTTGAGATAGTAAGTTGCACTGAAACCTTTCAATGACTTAAGGGTAACAAAGGCTGGTATAGTTTCTGCACTGATAAGAAATTTGTTGAATAAACTATTTTTAGGAAGAGTAAACAGAATAACTCTCCAAACTGTTGTTCAAGAATTGTTTTTCTTTATCATATATAAAAATGAATTTTATATTCTCTACAGTGAGAAGAGTTATTTCACATCTCTTTGAGTAGCGACACTTCGCGTCAGAAATTTAACAATCAAAAGTTATACTGTGGTGGCTCTACGGTACAAAAGTGCAGAAACGTATCTATTAAAACTACCTATAAAATAACTTCCATGTTGGAGTCTGTTGTCCTTGATTAATGATAAGATGTATGACATTATATCATAATGACAAATTGACGCCATGATAAGTTCATTCCAAACAGAAAAAAAATGACACACATTTAATTTTATTTACAGTACATTTTTTGTACTGATGTTTTTGATGCTAAATTTATACAGAGGGATAAGAAACTGCCTCTACACGTATCTCTTTTTAACGCTTCAGTGAAGAGGTTCTTGATGTGTTTATAAACAGTTTTTAATTACTAATCATGTCAGAACAAACAGTTGTAGGAACTTACTCATTTTCAAATTGATAGTGCTAACTTTTGAAACAAACGATTTCTGTTGATATTTCTTTTGATATTTTTTAAAACAAAATTCATCATTAACATTTTTTAACCAGATATACCACCTTATACACTATAGCACTACCAGCCCCATCCTCGGCTGCAAGTGAAAAGTGAACTATGCGCAAATATGCGATAGTGCGATTTCCACTTCGGAACGAGGATGTTTAGCCCGAAATATGGAGGAAATGATATTTATACAGATATAATTTTAAAACTCGGGTAATTTTCCGTTTGACTCATGCAAATTTCATGATACGTCTGTGTAATTTCTTGATACCCAATTAAGCTCGACTAATCACACATAATCTAGCGTAAAGGTAACGAAAGTGCAGGCTTACGTAATCTCAATTGAAAACCAGAGGTGCATGGTTCGAATTTCTCTATCTGTGGTGGTCTGTGCTTCTCAAGAAGTCGCGAAATGGACCAGTCTGTGCTCATTTTACAGTAATTACTTTGGATGGCATTCGGCGGACCTCTCGCACGTTGTTCAGTGAGGTAATAACCACAAACCCCGACTCAAAATGACCCTGACTATTGGAGGGGAAATAAAATTTCTTACTTGTACACAAAGTTGTCAAAACATGCTATTTACTGATATGTATTATTGATCATGACAACGGTCGTGACTAGGTACGTACAACGTAGACAATTTACGTTATTGATAAATACAGACAAGGGAAACGATAATCTTTTATCTACTGAAATGTTTTGTATCAGAATGCTTTAATCTTGAAATAAATCATCTTGTTGTTATCATCCAATATATCTCGGTTTACTCAGAACATACGGTATTGTAAGGTACTATAGCGCTTTATCAGTATATATCAACAGAGGAGTTTTATACACATTTCCAAAATCTAGACATCAGTGAGTTTGTCGATGCTGAAGTAACTGATGCTGGCGAGACTTTTTAAATAATTGAAAAAAACCCGACAAGAAATCGACATAACTGAAGTGAAGACTATGATGATGATTGCAGCAATTTGAATTCTAAACAGAGACAAAAAATTGGTGAAGATAAAATCTTAATGATTTTTTTTATTTGTTGTCTGAATGAATTATTGCCAGACCTCATTGTAATATTGATGCTAATTACTTAGCACTGTCAGTATACCGGACGTGTCTACCGTATACATAACAGCCACTGTTACCTCAGTGTTAGCTTGTTATCATAGTTACGTGTTTACATTTATGTTGGTCGTTAAACATTGTAATAAATGATTTTATATCTGTGGTACATGTTACGATAACGTGTAAATGCATTGTATTAATACGTTACTCTTCCATATAAGGAATGAAATTAAACAATGTATTAGTCCATTACTTATGTTAGGTGTATATTACATCAATAAGTAAGAGCAAGACATTTATGTTATATCTACAGTCAACCTCTTGTAACTTCTAAGATTTTGACTGTTATATTTCTCATTTCATCACAAAAGTATGTTTAAAATTTTCTTTAGCTGAATACGACATCGCTTGTTGTCTAGTTAATATCACACAGTGTCCTCAGGGCACACCAATACCTGAAATATCGACAGGTATTTTCGGACTCTGTGTCATTTATCGTGGTATATCTGACATAATGAATTTACATCACCATGCATTTCATATAAGATATTACACACCTGACACATGTTTATATCTACAAAACTACACAGAACTATTAACGACCCCGCCCCTCCCCCTTCACCTGGTACATTATAGACTTACCTGAAGACGGAGTTCCTTTAATCTCTCATATATACACACTTCTTAAGTGTCACCACCCTGCCAGATATGTTTTCTTGTATCCTGGTTATAGCTATATACTATGTACATTTGTAAATTAATGTAAGTGTATCACCCAAATGCTCTGTCGATAAGTTGACAAGTGACACCCGGGGTGGATGACATTGTCAAGTTCACGTCAAGGACAATTTATAATGACCTTCAAAGTATGAATAGCGTCGCTACCAAAGGTATACGTTTCGGTTAGTTTTTTGTACCAAAATAAACGACACACCACCTTATACACATGGTGTATCTTCCTCGGCGGAACTTAACTAGGAAACTTATTCTCCAATCTTTTTGATCGAAGAAATTATTTCACATGTCTCGTTACTCATTACCATTTCAGTATTATGCTCTTTGATGTTGACGTTTTGTAAAAATTAAAAAGACCCCCCACACACACACACACCATGATAACTATTTTAAATCCTGATAGAGAGTGTTTCTCCACGGACTATGCTAGCCTTTCTCTTACTTGTATATCATTAGTCATAAACGATAGATGTTGGTATGTTGTTCAGAATATCTTGGAGTACATACGCGCTGGAACGATTATGCCCTATGCCCTATGACATGGTTTATGAATATTCACGCCATCTCGCAATATTTCTATTTTTAGGCAATACTTCTAAATTTTCATTCTCCAGGTAACATATAACGGAGAGCCTTCCAACTCAGAATACAAATTATCATTTTCGGTAGTGTATTTTTTCTAAAAAAATTGTGAGTACCTTTTGTACGTCAGGAGCTTTATGATATATTTACTTGTATAGCCTTAAAATGTAATATTAGCATATCATCTAACGCAGAGTAACGTGTCTTGTATCAAAAGAAATAATTTATTAACATATTTTATTGAGAGTAAAATCAGTTTCCTGCCTCGATTATTTCCCGTCGTAAATAAATAACATTTCCAGATAATCAAACTCATTAAAGGCTTCTACATCAGCATTATATTAAACTTTTTTTTTCATTTTCGCGTTATGTACCTTCATTCCGATAAAAAAAAACCCTAATTTGTTAAGTTTAAGCTTCCAAACACTATCGTATATAAACAACGCATGTAACATACAGAGACTAAGGTGATCCTGTAACCAAAACAATATCATCTGCACTCACAATTAAAAACGTGCTAATCACAACAATTGCTACTCACCAGTACCTTGTTTAATATTCAATAAGCTTATTATTTATTTAATTAATTTTAACATAAATAATCTTTATCAGTTGAATCACACGTGTTTTTTTCTGCCGTCGGATTGAAAGATCGGGGTATATTGTTTTTGTGGTGTCTGTTTGTCTGTCTGTTTGTCTGTCGTTGATTGTAGCTTTGTCCATAACTATTACACCGTAAGAGGTGGGACTTCCATATTTGACATTCGTCCTCCTTGTAACAAGGCGTTTCCGGTGGTAATATGACCATATGACCTCTACCGTGACTTTTGAGCTACACTTGAAAGTAAAAAAAAATCATTACTACAATGAAGACCTAAGTGTTTCACTAAGTGTGTATGCAATTAGCACATGTCTTACACAGTACAGTGTTAATGTCCCACTTCAGAATTTTGTTGCAACCGGGGGCATAGTGTTTCATAAACACATCTTGTTGTTTTGTTTGTTTTGTTTTGTAATCTATAAAGTGTCGACCCCTTCTTCATCCTTAATGCATTATTAAAAAAACATCTCAAGTTCAAAAAATCTAGGTCTACACTTGAACTGAGCATCTATTATTACATCGTATTTTTTTATTCCATTAACCTCGTATGAAGTATTGATGTAAATAACTTACCTATACAATCTATCAGTGTCACGCCTAAGTGATTATAAGGGTCATCAATGTTATGACTAGATAAACGGCGATATGTTAAACCTACGACATACTGAGAAATATCATAAAAGAACGTCTCAATCAGTATATTTCTTTTAATATAGAGTAATCATGGCAGAAAACACCACGAAGGATATGTTTATAGTACATTTCCAATAACATGCATTTTTATAAGCAATATCATACAATATGATTCCTTTTATGTTATTGACTAGAAAAGTCTGACGCTTTGAAAATAATTGAGATTTTGAACAAATGTAGTTTATTTCCTTTTGATATATGTATAATGTTTATGTGTTCATTATCACAGGGATATGATTGTACCTCTTCTCTTCGTAAGAGCTGTGTATTGTTAAATCAACCAGTTTACTATTGCACTTAGTCAGCTGCTGGCGAAGACACTAATTGCCTTGCTCTCTGGATTCTCCTAATTGTCGTTTGCTGGGGTCCGAGGAGTAGGTTCTCTTTCACGCTTATGATCCCTGGTAAGGAACTTTTTCTGAATTACTATCTTGAGCCCACCGAAGTTCGCTCTGGATGGAAGAGTGGGAGACGCGAGGGCCCGAATCTGCTTCCGTTCCGGGTTAAATGATATAATGTCTTGGTGCACATTACCAGAACTCTCCCCACCAATGATCAGTATTGAGCCGTTGTGGTGGACCAGCCCAAACCGCCGTCTGTTGAAATCACTAAGTGTTTCAATAGTCCGACATTTTCCGTCATCAGACATTTCTACAACACTTCCGTCCGTACACACGACATATAACTGTTTCTCCAACACAATTGCTTTCGCCATTTTGCATTTCGAAGGCATTCCTGATAAAAAGCTTGACACACCGAGTCGTGTATCAAAACATTGGACTGCATCAGTTTCTTTGTCTTCAGAAAGGATCCCACCAAAGACAAGAATCTTCTCCTTTGATACTGCTGCTGTCATAGACCGAACAGCTACCTGAAGGCTTCCTGCAGATGACCAGGAACGTGTTTGAATATTGTATCCGTCGATAGATGACAATGTTCGATGGGTTTCTTCTTTAACATTGTCGTCATAGCCACCGATGACGTAGATGGACCCACCCACTGCTACCATGGCGTGACGTCGCCTTCCTTGAATCATCGATGTACATCGATACCAGTCGTTATTTTCTGACCTGTAACGAAGAAGTATGTCCAGTCTCTGAGAGCCACCTGACACAAAAATGTCATTTCCGTATGCACAGGTCGCAAACTCGCGACCCAGGACTATAGGGAGCTGAGTGAGCGTACACCAGCGCTGTTGTTGAAAGCTGTAAGCTAGCAGATCTGCCACTTTGTCGCCTACGGCATTATATCCACCTATAATGACAAGCACTTCTTCCAGATTTGAAAATTGTCGAAAAGCAATCCTTGGGGAATTGAATTCGGGTCGTCGAGCCAAAAGCATTTGGTAACTAATGGCTTCTTTGACGATTTCCCTGCATCGTGGACTGTCCGTTACGATCTGCATTGGTTCAATTTCATGCAACAGATATTCCGATCCTAACAGAGGAAGCCGAAGGTGTTCGAATAGACGAATTGTTTCTTCTTTTCGTTCTTGTGGGTTTGCATTATACCAACGAAACACAGCATCACAAACTACCTCTTCGTTTGCTACCATTAAATGGTCATCAACAATAATAGATACAATATCGTCGACATCAAGCCACATGAAGTCCTCCGACCGGCATATGTCATTGAAATGTTCCATAATGAGCGACCAAGCCTTCCGTGAAAGTTCAGGACATTCATGTGACTTGGCTAGTTTCCAGGCACCGATGCAATTTTCGGCACATATTTTTTCCAAAAGAAATTGTTCACACTTTTCATGAAGATACTGCACTTGAAATATCGCGGCTGCCTTAATCAATTCCTGTGCATTTTCTACTGTAACCACTTTCTTCCCACAGTAGATGAAATCTAGGATATGCTCAAAAATGTTCTTATCTATGTTATGTAAAATGACAACACCGTCCAAAGACTCACGCATACCAGAAGAAAACATAGCGTCAAAGTAAGGCGAGACAGCTGCTAACACAGTCTTGTGACAATTGAATGTTTTATCTTCTACTGTTATTTCCACGTCGGTGTGCCGTCCGCTTTTGTACATGTCCTCAAAAGACGCGTGGATAAACATGGCAAGGTCTTGCTTCCAGTTAGCGGGCATGTCGACTCTGGAACATTGAAAATAAGAAAACGTTTAGAAATGAATTGTCACTCGGAAGAGTAAAGGAAATGATATTCAATCTCACATTAAATCTACGCCTCAAGTTCCAATGAAGAGATTTTGACATAAACACGCAGGATGATTCTGCTGATCAGGATGCCTGAAACTGAAAAACCAACTGAAAGGTGGAACCTGGCATGCGAATCCATAGGGCAGAGCAACACAAACCCTTGAAATGTCTTTAAAATGACTCATACTTTCCACCTAAAATCTGTCCGTCTATTTCACTTCGTGAAATCTCCAAATGACTGTGAAATGCCTAACACAATGAAGAAGGTTAACTACGTCATCATTTAGACAAGCTTTGTTTGTTCCATCTACAAACAGAATTTTTAAGAGAGCTTTTATATATAAAGAGACGTCAATTATTCAAAAGGATGATCAACATACGGAAATTTGCGACTGGAAAAATAAGGAATCTGTCACGAACATCACATCTTTTTAATAGCTAACACATGTATACTTCATATGACATATTAACGGCTATTTTCAATATAGGCTTTTATTTTCAAAATCATTGTGTTATCTACAGGGTCTATTTCACAAATCGTATTTATCAAGGCCCACGAAACTGATGTCTCGCACGAATAAATCATATTTATATACAATACATATAAAGTAAATATTCATTAATAATATTTGAAAAATTACAAATTTCTCGACTTCGATTTGTTTTGATCTTTGATAACTGTTAAATCGTTGTACCTACACATTGCACCTCAAATTAATATTACAAATGAAATTATAACTATGAACATAATGAAAAACAAGGGAAAACATTTATATGAAATACAATATTTACCCATTTTTTCAAATTTATTTCGTTATCATGTTTTAAAAAATCATGTAATAAAGAATTTATTTAAACAATACAAAGAAAATACAATTAGTTCCGCAGCATGAAAGGTGCTGAAAATAAGTTTAGGTCTAACATATGTACGATTAAGTATCAGAAATTGTGATTGTATTTATACAATACACGAAACTTTTAGATAGATGTGTATGATACTAAGAAATAATTAAAATGTAAGTATTGATAATTGTTGATGATATTGGTTATATGAAATCTATTATCTGTCCTTCTGATACAGGGACAACACACAAAAAGTCGCATTTTGTCACAATCAGCACAACGGCTTCAAAATAATAGCTGGTTTCACGTCCAGTCATCAAGTCCAACAAATAGCATGACAAAGGTTGCCGTTCGAAAAACCTAAAATCCAAAACAGATGATACACGCAGAAAGGCTGTTTTTCTAAAGTGAATCTTATTACGCATTTTCGTGTCTTGAGACAATTTGGCAAAACAGTTTTTGGAAAGTGTTCCTGAACAGACAGAATAACTATGAATCGATAGTAAAAAATCGAATTCCCGAGAGAACGCCTCTCAAAACAAACATTCCACAAAAAAAGAAAGAAAGAAAGAAACGGTACGGAATGCACATTTTAACAGAGAACAATTAGCATTAGCTACGCTAGAGTTAAATAATTAATGAAATTGCATCTCACGGCTGTTCCATCTTCTACGACTCGTCAGTGATGCCAAACGCTTGAATTTTGAACCCAGGCAGGCGACTAATGTAGAAAGACATTTAATATTGATAGTATACATGCAAGTGAATTTTTGAATAACTCACTAATCTACATGATTAAGAAAGGTGACTGTCAATGCTCTGATTGGTGGAGAACAGATACCTGATTTCTAAATAATTAATCTAAGCAGTATTGGTTCAGTAGTTTGATGATTTACAGAGCAACATTCGGAACGCCTGCTTACAGATCTGACTTTAGTATGATGTACATGTATTGCGCCAAACTCATTGACACAGTTTCCGCAAACAAAGTTAGACTTATGAATCATTTAAAATATAATTAACATGGGAAGCAAACCAATTTCATCATTTTTTGTAAACGATGGATCAAACGTAAACGGATAATGCGTATAGATTTAAAGAAAAAAAAGGTATTGATAAGAGAATAGGTGCCTGTATAACTTCAGCGATAATTGATTGCATGTGTTTTAGTACAAGATGCGATGCAAATACACTTGTTTTAAACACAGTATTAACGTTTATTCAGTGATAAGATGAAATAGAGAATGAAGGAGAGAAAAAAAGGACCACTTGTTAAAGTAGTGGCAGATAAACAACCGGCAATTACACCACCACACGCAGTATTGTTAACATTGGATCTATAGGTGTATCATGACACAGTATTATTGTAGTACAAATTGCAATTAAGAGATATGGGATGACGTGTGTAAGTGCACCCACAGGTGCCTACATCAGCGTTGGCATTTATATATGTACAACATTAAATTTACTGATACAATTGCACGGTGGTTACCATTATTTTAATTAGCCACACAATATTGTCAGTGTAATCGATAAATAGATTTTGTCTCGACCCAGACAATTTATTTCATCTGTGCTAAAATGCATTAGATACAGCTTGCTTTCAATGTTATTGCGGTTGATTTGATCACAAGCACGAGTTCAAATTAAAGGGTTGTTATTATGGTAATTCTCACATAGCCTTAACACCCCCACAAGTCGACATATTCAACTTTATACACTTACTTTGATGAATGCTAGAGATAAATCGCCAATCATACAAATATGATTCTTAAGATGTAACAGAGGATATGACAAACACGACTTACTACATCTAGATAATTTTTGAAAACTGATACCACACATCCATGGAAATCTATGGAGTAAATCTATGAGAAACCATTGTCTACAATACGTGGCATTTGATGTATTGTGTCGTACCTCTGGTACATTTACTTTCCATTTTATTTTAGAAATAATCTTACGTTAACCATCATAAACTTTTCCTTTCATACATTTACTGAAAATAGTGTAATGATATCTCGTTATTAGATGTTTCTATTATAAGTAATTAACATCAGATACCGTCCATTATTAACATTGTCTCATTGATATACGTTCAGCTATTTTCATTGTCTTTTCTTTACATTTTCTTGTACAATAAGAACGCAGAAATTCCGACATGGCAAGAATATATTAATTCAGTCTCAAATTTGATTGAACTGGGGCAGGATATGAACAAAGGGAAACTCCTGAAACAACATAAGGAGAATAAGAACAGATGTCCCGGAAGGGTAAGCGTTTTATGTCTCAACGACAACAACCTTCATGGGAATCTTGGTCTTATTTAACTACTAGTTTGTACTTAATCTCTGTTCGAGACTGTATTACGTAGATTATCTTAATTGATTCATGTAACTTAAAAACGATTTGAAATATGAATTTCAGCTTAAAACAAAAACCAGATGTTTTTGAAATTACTTTCGATTGAATCTATGATTAGTCTACATACAAAACTTTAAAATTCGGACAGGAAACCTTCCATTTTACTTTTTGTTTTGAATTAATGACAACATCATAATATAAATCAAATACAGTAAATGGTTGTGTTCTCACTGGTTCAAATTTTTGCAGTTTAACCAAACCGTGACACAGTTAGGATTCCATGAACTGGGCTATTCTGTCCTCTATTTCTGTTCCCTTTTTTAGTTTTTTTTCGATGGTATCGATGCTCAAAAATATTGAAATATACCGACGACTAGAATACCAAAATGTACCCAAATATAATATGCACCTTTTTCAGCACAACAATCGTATAGAGAAAATTATTTCAGGTGATGAGACTTAGATCCCGCTTAATACGGTAAATTGATTGGAAACTGGGATATTTACATTCACCTGAAGTATGTTAGGAGAGTATTTACTTAACGTATATCACCTCTATTCATTACAGAGCAGACTCATGTTGATAACATATATTGAATTTCTAGGCTGCTGGCAGTACACTGCTTTAGTAGTTGTAACGCGGAGACTTTGGACAAATGAAAATGATATGTTATCCAAAGAGAAACGGACCTTATCATTTGTTACATTTATGTTGTTCTTCAAATGATGAACTGATTTCCTTTTCATTTCAGTAAGTTTCTGGAGAAGTTGTTGTTCCAACATTGGGCGTTCAAAATTATCATTAATACAGTTAGGTTTTACAGAAAACGAGTGTTGACAATTTTACAACTGCTACTGTTTTGGTGCATATATCATAAGTACATGTCTAGATACGAATGTTTATTAATGAAAAAATCTCAAATAACTAGCATCAAAAACACATTTTAGTAGATATTATTGATATTCAAATGAATGTATTAGTCCTTTAAGGTTAAAGTATATGTACTCACATTTTGCTGTTTTCGTGTGCTGTTTGGGACGTAGTGGGCTTATTTCGATGGTATAGTGAAGGGAGGCAAATTGGCGCGGATTTGCCCCGTTTACCTGGCTTGTATGTCAATAATAGATGTGTTATTGATGTCATGGTTTGCATGTACATGGATCAATATTCGATTTGTTTTCACGCCGCTTCGTAACCTGGTCAAAAGAAGGATATTGCGAAACGTGTCTGGAATCATCATTTAAAGTCTATCGCTACAAAGTCTTGTACAAAAGTGTATAAATGACAAGCAACTTTAAATGAAAATTTAGGATTAGAAATATATATATATATGTAAATCGGGGAACTTTAAGACGACCTGGTCTAATTATCTTTGCATTTTTCATGGACTTTTCATATGTATTTGTTATATATATATATATTTGTATATTTTGTTTAGTGTTTTCTTGAGCTTTGACCTTTCTTGTTCAGAAAGAAATATTGTTACCAAACGAGACAGTGATGTCAGGAAGTAAGTTCACGTGTCAAAATTATGAAAAAAGCTAATATATAACAAGGTAATTAACACCTTCTGAAGTATCTTAAGGATGTAATAAAATCTTTGAAATAGAATGTTTCTCTCCCACACCTTCTATAACAGTCTACAATCATGTTTAATCTGGACCATACTTGACTTATGTATCAGAACTAATCAATGGTTTCAAGAATAACCAGCATACCTTA